AGCCGAAGCGGCAAAGCCCCCAGACGCGCGGGACCCCCCCCGGTGCCTGTGGTCTGCTGGGGACCGTCCCCAGCAGACCACAGGCACCGGGACTCAAGCGGCAGCAGCGGGCGGGGTCCCGCGCTTCTGAGGCTTTGCCAGAGTAAGAAATGGTGCCTCTTTTTTCCTACACATTCGAACAGACCTTACGTCTTCCATTTGTTTTCATACTGTTTTCCAATATTGCTCATAATTCCCTGGTAGAAGATGACTCCACTTTGTCTGGCCCACATCTGCTTTGTGTCCAAAAGATTGATTTACAGTGCACCTGAGCTGTTAAAGGCAGGCTTGTTTCTGCCTTTGATCCCACTACCACACAAACTTGGGAATGAGGCAAAAATGGAGACCCAGTCAGAAGAGGAATTAGGGATTGTGGCATTGTTTATTTGCCAGTCATGGTATGTCAGATTGGAGAGTGGGACATTTAGTTAACTGCCTTAGCTCATCTCTTGCTCTGTTCCCAGTTATGTCAATTTTCCCTGCTGTATGTACAGGAATGAATTTTAAAAAAAAAGATAGTTTAGGGAGGCTTTAAGCACAGAGAGCAGTGGTAATCCCTTTAGTGTAATATGCTCTGTATCAGTGGTCTCCAGTCTTTTTAAGCACAAGATGACTTTTTGAATGTCAGTCTAGGACCTACCTCAAACGCAAATATCCCTGCCACACCCCTTCTCTGAGGCCCCACACGCCTCACTCTGTGAAGATGGGGTACAAGGCAGGGGGACAGAGTGACATCAGTGCCCCCCTGCCTGTCTCCCCCAGTCTGCACAACAAGCAGGAGGCTCCCGGGGGTGGCTCTGGGCAGGAGCAGCTGAAATGCAGGCACTTGATAGCCTCCCAGCCAAACCAGTCAGGATCACCTGTCAGAGTCTCCCAAGATCTATCAGTAGATCCTGATCAAGGGGTTGGTGACCACTGCTCTATATCTGTTTTGCTTATGTCTAAGGTGCTATAATCTATATTTGTAATCCTAGATGGAAGGTGTAAATATATAAGGCATATCAATCATATGTACGTCAAAGGTACTTTTATCACAGAGATGCTTACATAAATTGACTAAAAAACGCCCACATTTAATTAGACATTTCTGTCTAGTTTGTCAAAGGGAATTTACTATGTTATGGTACTACGGTAATTTACCAGTGTAAATTAGCGATTTGCAAGTAAGTGCCTATATTTGAACATCTAACTTAACCTAAAAGAGAGGATTTTGTTTATCGTTTTTTTGTGATTGAGTAAGGGATATTTACTTTCTTTTTTCTCTTGGAACAGTTACAACATTTCAAAGAGGTTGAAATAGCAAAAATTAGAATGGAAGAGAAAGCACGATGCCAAAAAGAAATTTCTGATTTGCGTAGGGATTTTGAAAAGACAAACCATGCTAAGTCCGAGGCTCTGATTGCTCGTGAAAAGAATGCTATTGAAAGACTTCAAAAACATCAGGAGGTAATGTTTAAAAATAATAATTGGATCTATTCAGTACAAAGAGGTTCAGAGAGTTAATGAAATTAACCTTAGATATGTAGAGGAGCTACATTCAGATCCTACTGCATTATAAATGAAGAGTTCAATAGTGGCCCGTGGCAAGTAGATTACAACCCGGAAGAGCCGGTGCAGAGCGATCTGCTCATGCGCAGAACCGCGTGAAACAGCGCGGCTGGCGAGTGGGGCTCGCCGCCGCTTGGCGAGCCCTGGACATACCTTAATCTCACATTAGGAAAGCACCACTCAGATTGTCATGTTCAGGGATTTCAGGTCCTCTGTGACAATGGTAATGAGTATGGTATAAATATGTAAATAGACTGTAGTAGTAGCAGTGTTTCTGCTAAAGGCTGAAATATAACAACAGATATTGTTACGTGTATGAATCCCTATTCTCCTATTAGAGCAATGGTGGGCAACCTGTGGCCCATGAGGTTAATCTATGGGCAGACTGCAAGACATTTTGCAGATGGAATTTGCTTTGGATCCTAGAGGGAAGGTGTAAATATGCAAGATACCAATCGTATAGGCTTCAGTGGGAACTGTGGGAAGCAGTGCGGACCACTGGTTTCCTTCCTGTTTTAGAGTAATGAGAATTCTTTTTTTTAATGGTAGTCTTCTGTAGCTGTTTTCTTTTCTATTTATTATGGATGTTACGGGTTTTTTGGTTTTTTTCGTTGTAGTTTTCAGAGTTGAAATTTAAAAAAAATAAAAATAAAATGGAACATAGTATTCATACTTGAAATTCACTATGTATCTCCAACAACAAAAGAAAGGCCAAAATGGTGTCTAATGTGGACCTGATTCTTGTAAAGCCTGACTGTTTGGGGCGATGCTTTCGGTGTAGCATGGACTCCAAATGCGTCTACTACTTTTTTTCACCTTATAATAAATCATAGTAATAATTATGGTGCCTACTGGCCCCAGATGACATTGGGGTTCCATTGTGCTAAACATTGTACACACACAAGGTAATCAATATCTGTCTTATGCTTTTCTATTGTGTAACACCAATCCTAAAATGGATTTTCGAGCTAGGGATGTTAAAAATTGTTATATGTTTACCATGTATCTTCTAAAAATCTTAGCAATTATATGCACTGTGGGCTCTGCAGTATAAAGCTTAACTTGTGCTGTAGAGCCTGCAGCAAAGCTGGCTTAGTTCCTGGGGTGGAGGCTTCACTGCCGCAGTGAAGCCTCTTTCTCAGGAGCAGAGCTGGCAGCTCTTGCCTACTCTCCCACCTGCCCTTTTTTAATCACAGTGAGTAGTCCTGTGGCACTGTTTCATCACTTAACCAGTTAAACTTAATGTTTAACTGGTTAACTAATTAAACAGAATTTTAGATTCCTAGAAGTTATTGTTTGGTTTGGAGCACCTAGACTGGAGGGAACTGCTAATGGAACCAGTATTTTGAAGAAAATTTAGTTTTAAAGCAATTATGTAGAGTGCATTTTCTCTGCTAATTGTATATTTATTGGGAGCTTTAACAGTTTCTTTTTTTATTGCAGTGTTGTAGCTGTGCTGGTCCCGGGATAGGAGAGAGACAATGTAGGTGAAGTAATATCTTTTATTAGACCAATGCTTTGTGTAAGCTTGAATGCTTTTCTTTCTCACAAATGGAAGTTGGTCTAATAAAAGATTTTACCTCACCTATCTTGTATCTTAAATTGTTTTTGTTAATCAAGTTAAGATAGGGACAAAACTGCTTATACCTATACTTGCTTTTTCTCTTCCAGTTTTGGTATATTCTAAACTATGTATTTGTGTGTGGTAGTGTTATAAAGATTTTGTTTTATTATTATTTTGTGACTTTTGAATCTGTGCAGTGTACTAAAAGATAAATTTCCTGATAGAAAGTAATAACTTTCAAGGGTGTTAACCCTAAATAAAATAGAATAAAGGAAGCACCCTGTTATTAGTACAAATTAGTTGTTACCTGTAACAGCACGCTATAAAAATAATATTTATCAGAATCAGATCAGTTTGGGAACAATGTCTGTAAATTTTTTTTCTAATTTTTGTATTATTGTCTGCTATTGTTGACTGCTATTCTGTATCAATTTACTAGAAATTATTTTAATTTAAAGCTTAATGTAAAAATAAGTGTAAAAATAAAATGAATGTAAGTAATATTTTCTGTTCTAGATTGAAGCAAAGGAGGTTTATACTCAAAGACAAAGTCTGCTGAAAGATATTGAAATGATAAGAACTAGAGAGGCAGAACTGAAGCAAAGAATGGAAACTTTTGAACTGTGAGTCTAGGTCATTCTTTACTTCTGGTGTTGCTTTGTTTGTAACAGAATGTACCAAAATGCTATAATTTTTATGAAATTGAAATTTATTTACCTCTAAATTTGATGTGCTACATATGAGTAATATGGCATCTAGCAGCAGGGACATCCTGTGCTAAAAGGCCAATTCTGTTCTCAGCAAAAAAGCCTGGCATTACTTCAGAGAGATTAATGAACTGGACTTCTGATATGAACTCATTAACTTAAAACAGTGTGTAATCCCAACACCAACAAAGCAACTGTAGTGACAAATTTATATTCGTAATGTTGGTTTCACCCTGACATATGTGAGTAAATAGATTTAATAAAAACCTGTTTCTTCTGTAATTAATAAAATCCCAAACTAATTCTTGCCTGCTTTCCAGTGCTCTCTAATTTGTTAGTGTTTTGTGTTTCTGTATGCAAGAATGCAAGCTATTTTCCCACTAACAAAAGTTATTTTCTTGTCTAACCAGCAGAGGGTACTGGTAGAGTGGTGAGCTAAGTACCTTTTCTAAAACTGAGGAACTAAACAGCATCCTTCCTGTAATACTTTTTCAGCACTTGCCAGTCAGGTTGTTTATATAGTTGGTCAGTCTGTCTTTAACAGTACAGCTTAATATGTGTCACTTTTCAGTGTTCTTTGTGAATGCTTATGATAAATCTGAACATAATTTTAAATGCCTGAAGCCAACCCATCACACTGTTAACTTTCATAAATATGTGATAAAAAACCAGCAGAGAACTCTGGCATGTCATAAATATAATTACTTGGTGTCCATATATTTCTCATTATATCAGTGCTCAGAAACTTCAAGAAGAAAAAAATAAAGCTGTTGATGATGCACTTCGACGTCGGGAGACAGCTGTAAAGAACATTGAGGAGACTTACGACCAAAAGCTTAAGAATGAACTCCTAAAGTAATTTGTTTCTTTGTCTCTTTTATATGAAATATTTATTCTCTATTGGAATAGAAAGTTAAAAATGCCATTGGAATTACTAATGAGAACTGTAAAAAAGGAAGAATTGAATATATAAGATCTAGATTATTTGTTATAATCAGTTTGTGACTTTATAAAATGTGGCAACTAGATTTCATAACCAAAAGAGGTTAAAACAGTTCTGCGTTCTAACAGATAAAATAATTCTATTATGGGCTCTTCTAGACTATATCCCTCTTTTGAAAGAGGGATGTAAATGAACTTGATCAAAAGTGCAAATGAGCAGGGATTTAAATATCCCATGCTTCATTTGCATAATTGCATCCCCGCTGTCTTTCGAAAAAGGGTATTTCGAAAGTGAAATCGCAGTCTAGACATGGTTCTTTCAAGGAAGAAAACCTTTTTTTGAAAGATCCTGTACTCCTGAAAAAATGAGTACAGAATCTTTTGAAAAGGGGTTGTTTTTCCCGGAAGAACTGTGTCTAGACTGCGGTTTCACTTTCGAAATACCCTTTTTCGAAAGACTGCTGGGACGTGATTATGGAAATGAAGCACGGGATATTTAAATCCCTGCTTCATTTACACTTTTGATCTGCCTAATTTACATCCCTCTTTCGAAAGAGGGATGCTGTCTAGACATAGCCTATATATAGTGATGTTCTTCTATACATAAGGCTATAGAATTTTAACAAATCAGACTTTCAGTCTCACTATCTGCGAAGAAATGACTTGAATCTATAGGGCTGCAGGACAGACAGATAGAAAATATCATTAGTGATCTCTTGATCAGTGCTGAAATAGTAATTTGAAGAACTAAAAGTGGGCTAGATGTACAAAACCAGTAAGGGAGTTTCAAGGCATGGGATGAGACACTTCTGAAAAAGGAAATGTAAAAGTTTTCTTTTTGAAATACTGGCTATTTGGTGCAGACTTGTACATGGCCAGCCTTCTCTGCTGCCCCTAACTCCCTGAAAACAAGAAAACCCTGTTCTTTAAAAGTTCTTTGTAAACCAACTTCTTTTCCTCTTTAAAAAATATCCTTCTCTGCCTGGCAAGATCCATCTTTCTCCCTCAGAAATTCATCTCGCTTTGCTCCAAAATCATCCATTTTTCCTTACCTCAAAACCATACCTCTTCAAAAAAATTTCCCGTCTTCCAGATTCAATAGTAAAAAATAGACCCCAAAAGTAAATCCATTTGCACCCCCAAAATAAAATCTCTACATTGAATTCTAAAAAATATTCCATTTTAACCACCACCTCCCAAAACTTCGTTTCTCTTTTTAGTCATTGGAACTGGAACTGGAAAGAGATTCACTGTTCTCCTGGACAAAGGCTGCAGCGTTTGCTTGGCCACACAGACTTCTCCCTTTTTTGCTAGGCTGTGGTCACAATCTGATTTATGAGGAGTGCCACTTTGAAACCCGCAGGTGGCTTTTCAAAGGGACAGTCACTGCACAGCAGAGGTGGTGTTTTAAAGGAGTAGCTGTGGAGCCCATGGGTTCCCCATGGCATTTCCCCAGAACCCACGATCAGCTGGCTTTAGCAGTATGCAGTGTAGCATGGAGCCCAGGGTCAGCAGGGGGCTCTGAGTCTCCCGCTGATCCTGAGCTTCATGACTTTGAAATGCACAAGAGACCCCGCTGGGGACTCTTGTACATTTCAAAGGAGGAATGCAGAACTCCACATACAGCCCAGGGCCAGCGGGAAGTCCCGCTGACTCCGGGCTGCAGGTGGGTGCCAGCTTTGAAATGCACAAGAGACCCCGCTGGGGACTCTTGTACATTTCAAAGGAGGAATGTAGAAGTGCCTATCGACTAGTCAGTTAACTGCATTTTAACATCCTTAGAAGGAAGAAGGGCTGTATCATTTGTGTCTGTATTTTTATTGCAGTTTTCATTTTTGGTGGCCAGCAGGTAGGACAGGAATCTGAGGGAGAAGTGCGATATGTATGGAATAAGCTGTACCCCTTCTTGGGCTGTTGACAGTGGAAAGTGATGACACTAAGCCTGAGATGCTTTTGTTTGTTCTCTCTTTCTGATGTGAACAGTGATCCTCTGAGGCTTGCTGATTTGTGTTGTTGCAAAAAAGTGCTCTTGGAACGATGGCTCATGTCCACAGAAGGAAATGAATCAGCTCTCCAGGCAGGAGAAGGAAAACAGTTCACATTGCAAGCACTCTTTCTCTCGATGTTGAATGTATTCAAATTGTAGAGGAGAGGTGTAAAGCAATTGAGAATGAAGTGTCAGTTGAAACAGAGCGGCTTCTAATAATATGAACAGAGGATAGTTAGATGTGTGTCATTGAGTGACTAACCGTAAGCAAACATGTAATCCTCTGTGCCTTGTTTTACTTCTCTAGTAAACTGATAATTGATAATAAGGCCTAGTCTACACTGGGAGTTAGGCTGAACATAACCACATTAGGTCGGATTTCTAAACACTGAGTCTACACCATCAAGTCCATTCTGTCAACTTTAAAGGCCATTAAAGTTTGTTTTGGGTACTCCAGTTTCATGAGGAGTAACACTAAATTCAGCCTTGCATGGTTGACTTATGGTAGTGCTGTGAAAGTCAAAGTTCTTGGCCTGTGGTGACTCAGTGACTGCTTTGTCCAGAACTTTCAACTCTAAAAAAAAAAGCTGAGGTAGTCATACCAGAAGACAAAGAAGGCAAACGGATGGTCTGGATCATTGCTGCAAACATGCTGCTTCTATGAGCATGTGATCCTACGGTGGACCTGACCAGCTTCCCTAGCTAGTCTGTGGATTTCTACTAAGACACTCCTCTGGCAGCCTTGAGCAGTAGTGTGGAGGACAGCATGGATGAAGAAGAGGAGGGGAGTGATTAGCAGGTGAGCTAAGGATATCACCAACAACCAGGACCTTTTTATAACTTTGGAGACAATCCTCTCCTCCCGGGACATCTTGTAGCTGGGCACTGATGCTGGGGCGGGCAGTTCTGGTGAGTTCATGTTTTTTATCATGTTACATGTGGGTTAGGGCAATTGGGTGTAATCTGTGGGGGGGGGGCACTGTGCAGGGGGTCCTGGAACAGCTTGTTGACAAGTCTGGAGATGGAGCGGGAATCCTCCCTGAACAGCTTCATAAAGCTCTCATAGAGCAACTATTTAATCCTTATGAGGTTTCTGGGGAGGCCTGTCTTATTCTGTCCTCCACAGTAAAGCTACGTCTAGATTACAAGCCTCTTTAGAAAGAGAGCGTCTAGATTGCAACCACTTCTTTTGAAAAAGCGAGCTGCTTTTTCAAAAGCGAGCACCCAGGCAATCTGGATGCTCTCTTTCGAAAAAGCACTGCATTCAAGAATGCCTTTTTTCAAAAGAGCACTTTCGAAAAAAGGCGTTCTTCCTCGTAAAATGAGGTTTACCGAGGTTGCAAAAACCACCACGTTCTTTCGATTTAATTTCAAAAGAACGCAACGGCAGTCTAGATGCAGGGGAAGTTTTTTTGAGTAAAGGCCACTTTTTTTTTTTTTGAAAAAATCCTGTGGTCTAGACACACCTAGACACCTTTCCATACCAAGCCAGCAGTAAGTGATCTGGTGTCAGTGAAGCACAAAACATTGCAGAATAAGGTTTCTGGACACAGTCAATCAGCATCTGATCCCTATCACTCTATGTGATTCAGAAGATTGATGTCTTGCAGGGCAACCTGGATAAAGCAGGGGAAGCTATTAGTTGATCCATCTGCAGTAAATCTCCGTTTGCTCATCCCCAATGAAGCATGGTTTGAGCCTCTGCTCTGCCCTGCCCTCCCACTGTGCCTGGGCCCCTTCTCCCCTTTCTGCCTGCATGCTCCCGTGGGAAGGGAAAGTTGCATTCTCCCAGCAAATGGGGAGGTGCCAAACATATGTGCACTACATAAGCCTCTGCCTTGCCACCATGCCCAGGCTCCTTTCCCCCTCACCTCCCGCAGGCTCAAGCCCTGGCCTATTGGTTACCATGCCTGCCACCTGACCAAGTCTAGCTGCTCCCTAAGAACTCTGGTTTGTCTGTTGCATAGTGGCTGCTTAAGTGCATAACAATGGCCTTGTACATAACACATCCCTATTGTCTCTGGACAGACCTCTTTATGCTAACAGATTAGATTTTATGGTCTATAATGTATGTCCTGTAAAGTTTGCCCTTCACTTTTTGGTACAGTGGGAACAATAGCAATCATGCTACACACTGCCCCAGTTCTGCCAGCTGGCACAAATGTGAAGGCAAAAATGGACTAGGAATGACATATTCAAGGAGCAAATGCAGTCCGCCCACTGGGACAGGAAGCACGTAAGCGACTGGAGGAGTATGCTGCTGCTGGACATGAGAGCAGACCGTGAGGACAGGAGAGCATGCAGGGAGCCAGAAGTGAACAACCAGGAGAGAGTCTTGAAGACTACGGTGGATAGGATGATCCGCATGGCAGCCTTCCTGGACAGCTATGTGCCCAGGCATCCGCTCAAGCCGTTGCAGAACCATATTCGCTCCTCACCAAGTTCCATAGTCTCCTCTCCCAGGGACCATAGAATGCCTGAGAGGGGGAGAAGGAGGTTAAAAGCATCCTTGCACTCAACCCCCAGGAATGGGTCGCAAAGCAAAAGGCGGCTGTTCTCGCAGTTGTGATCACACCCTCCCCCCAGCTTTTGCCATGAACTCTTTTTCTGTCCCTGTTGTGTTCCCTAAATAAAATTGCATGATTTTCGAACAACAGTGTATTATTTGTGTTGAGAAGGGGGCTTTACAGGCAAGCCCTCTGAATGCAGGGGCATCATGTTAAGAGCAAGATGTATGACTCTCAAATCTTGCATGTCTTTCAAAGCCTCTCTGATTTGCAATGCCCCTCACTGTGCTCTCCTTATTGTCCTGGTGTCTGGCTGCTCATAAATAATAGCTAGGCGCTGTGCCTCAAAACCCACCCCCACGACATAGCTTTCCCCCTTACTCTCACAAATATTATGGAACATGCATCAGGCTGCCACTACAATGGGAATGTTGCTTTCGCTGAAGTTTAACCTAGTCAGTATACTTTAAACACCCCAAACCACATTCTACCACCAACCTGCACTTGCTCAGCCAAAAATTGAACTGCTCCTTGCTGCAGTCCAGGCTGTTTGCGTACGGCTTCATAAGCCATCGGAGCAAGGGATAGGCTGGGTTGCCATGGATCGCTATCGGCATTTCAGTGTTTCTGATAATTTTCTGGTCTGGGAAGAAAGTTCTAGCTTGCAGCTTTCTGAATAGGCAAGAGTTCCTAAAGATGTGTGCATCATGTACCTTTCCTGACCGTCCTACTTTGGTGTTGGTGAAATGGCTCTTGTGATCCACCAGAGCCTGCAGCACCATCAAGAAGTGCCCCTTGTAATTCATGTGCTCTTTGGCAAGGTGGTCAAGTGCCAACATAGGGATACGCTTTCCATCTATTACCCTACCACTTTTAGGAAACTCCATCGCGGCAAAGCCTCCGCTATGGTATCCATGTTTCCCAGAGTTACAACCCTCCATAGCAGAATGGTATTGATTGCCTTGGCTACTTGTATAACAAGAGCCCCCACTGTAGATTTCTACACTCCTAATTGATTTTCAACTAACTGGTAGCTGTGTGGTGTAGCAAGCTTTCATAGGGCAATTGCCACTCATTTCTCCACTGTCAGAGCGGGTCTTATTCTGGTATTCTTGCACTTTAGGGTGAGGGAAAAGCATTTTGCAAACTTCCATGGAAGTGGCTTTATGCATGCAAAAGTTTTTACAGCCACTGCTGATCGTCCCATAGGTGCATCGTTGTGCAGTCCCACCAGTCTGTTTGTCTCATGGCACCAGAGCTGGCGTTCCACTGTTACTAGGGGATCCAGAGCCAGAGGCTCTTGTCAGTTGCTCAACTCAAGTGCTTCGCAAAAGAGTGTGTTCATGGCCTCCCGAGATTCTTTGTTCCATTAGACCCTGGATATGTGCTGTATAAACTCCAGCATAAGGCTCACCATAGTTAATATGCTATCATGTGCCGAAAGTGTCCGTCTGCTTTGTACATTGGACAAACGTCTCAGACACTTCGCCAAAGGATCAATGCCCACAAAATAGATATTAGACAGGATCACAAAGAAAAAACAGTTTCTTGCCATTTCAACCAGAAAGGACACTGTCTCAACAACTTAATTACCTGCATCCTGCTTCAGAAGCCTTTTAAATCTGCACTTGAAAGGGAATCCTCTGAACTGTCATTCATGCTAAAATTCGACACTCTACGCATGGGTCTCAACAAAGACCCCAGTTATCTTACCCATTACAAAGATAGCTTCCCCAATTATCACCTCTAATACCATTAGCTCACAGACATTTACCTTTTCCCTCCCTCCCCCCGCATCTCCTTTCTGTTCTGAAATTTGATTTGTCCTTTTCATATGTGTTCTTTTTTTTAATTGTATCCTTTGATATATTTGGTTGTGACTATTTTCTTCCACTATTTGATCTGAGGAAGTGGGTCTGGCCCACGAAAGCTCATCATCTAATAAACCATCTTGTTAGTCTTTAAAGTGCTACATAGTTCTGTATTTTGTTTCAGCTACACCAGACTAACACGGCTACATTTCTATCATAGTTAATATGATTGTCATAATGCTTTGATGCTCAGTGGGCTCCATGATGGGTTCCATGATTATTGCACAGATAACCAAGGCGAAAAGCGTGCAAAAAGACTGTTTGCTGTTGCTTTCAAGCGGGCATGGGGGAGGGAGGAGACGAATGCAGTATGGGAGACTGTCGATATATACCCAGAACTACCTGATGCACAGTTTTGGTCCCAGTGGGCATTGGGAGCATAACCCAGAATGCAAAGGAGCGTAGGAAATGTGGGATAGCTACCCACAGTGCATTGCTCTCAAAATCGATGGTAGCCACCCTACTGGGGATGGACTACTTAAACTGCTTCAAATTCTTGCACAGTGAGGACATGCATCTTCAACTTTACAAAATCATGTGCTAAAAAATTGACCTTAATAAATTCTTCCTTATCTCTCAGTGTTGTAAAGGCTTTAAGTAACTAAATAAATACTACACAGAGCACTTACCTCATAAATAGATTTCAGTGGCTTTATTTGTTTAATGTTTGTAGAGCTCTTTCAGATCTTAACAGGGACAGTTTTTATTGGAGAATTCTTTTATTGAAGTTAATTTTATGTTCTATAATACACAGGTTGAGAAACGAGTGTCTATACTTCTGAGCAAGTGCTTAAACTTTTCCACTCCTACTTATCTGTTTTACCAACAAAAGCTCATGATCCTATATATTTGTTAGTTTTTAAGATGCCAAAGGACTACTCATTGTTTACAAATACAAAGTTTGTTTTAAAAGTCATCAAACACACATAGTACATAATCAGCAATATCCTAAATGTAGGTAAGTTACTATAGTGCCCAAAATATTCTAAGCACCGTACAAACACCTGGGAAAACTTTCTCTCTTCCTGAATATCTTAGTCTTTCTTCATTTGTTACAAAATTTATTTAGCTATCTGTCAATAGCTCCAGGATCCTGTCTATAAATTTGGTATGCCACATTTAAATTAGAAGTATAAAAGTTAAGTACAGGTTGAACCTCTCTAAACCAGGACCCTCTGGTCCAGACCACAAATGTTTCAGGACCAGAGTGTCCCGATGGAGGGCTTGTGTCTGGGAGCTCTGCGGGCTGCCCGGCGGTGGGGCTGGCAGAGTAGGAAGGCTGGCAGCAGGGGGATGGCAACTGGGCCAAGGCTGTGACAATGGAAAGGGGGCCAGAAATAATCTCCCTTGGTTTGGTAAAATCCTTCATTAAGACAGTTAAGTCCCAAGGGTGCTGGACCAGGGAGGTTCGATTTGCATTAGAAAATGTGGAAGGAATAATTATAAAACCAACTTCTCTTCCCCCCCCCCCCCCCCCACCAAAAAAAAGATACATACAGTTAATGGAACTCAGAATCAATACATTTCTGGTGTAGAAAATGGTTGACTTTGGATATAAAAGTTAGGAGACTCATATATAATTCAGTTTTAATTATATATCACATCACATTTTTGATAGTTGTATAGTTTGTTGTAACATACTGTAAAATATTTGAAAAATAATGAAGACTTAATGAAAATATTGACTGCATTTAGTACCATTAGTCTTTGAGTGCTGGGGATAAACTGTTCCTTTTTACCTGGAAATTATAATTTTGGTGATTAGCAAAGCGAGGACGTATTTATTTTTATATTCTTAATATTACAATCACAATTAGAGCCTCAGTAATCTGGACACTATAGAAGGATATATGAAGATGGGATAACTGCCTCCATATTCTTGAAATTTTAATTGAGCTATAATTCTCTGAAATGTTGAACACCCACAGCTCCCATTGATTTCAATAGGATTTAAGGGCACTTAACATTTGCCAGATCAGGACCTGTATGAAGTTTCATTGTAATTAGCATATAGAGTTAGACAGTTTGATAGGTAGTTAAAGCTGAGTCTGGGGCCAGTCAGAATTCTTTTTCTTTTTTCCCCTAGATATCAGCTTGAGCTGAAGGAAGAATATATAGCCAGAACCACTAAGGTTACTGAAGACGAGAAAAAGAATAAAGGTAACCAATCTCTTTCACAGCCATTGTTTCTCTTGTAGCTTGTAAGAAGAGGAAACAAAGCAGATTTTTATACAAATATATTGTATTTAATTGAAGTTGGAGAAAGAGAGGATCGTCTTTAGACTTCTGAGCTGGATTACTTTGGAAAAAATAGTATATCATGTAATTAAAAACTTCCTCATACCTGTGCACAATCGTGCCTAATTAAGGTTGCTCTGGCAAACTTAATTTTGGATTTTCTCAATTTTTGAGGGTTTGACTGAAACTGTTTATGATTCTTACAGAGACAGCTATGCTGTTGCGTGAAGAGACCATTGCCATTAATTCAAAGAAAGAAGAACTCAAACAAGTTGAATCACATGCAAAAGAGCTTGAGGTAACAGTGAACCTGGTTTGAGACTGTACTTTATGATTAGTACATTTGAAGTGTTTTGTGATATCTTTTCAGGAATAATATGTGGTGCAAAGTGTATTTATTGAGAAACATCTTAATTTCCTGATGTGTGTTTTAGCTTGAGCTGGATTCAGTAAAGGCGCAGCTGCTATTGGTAAACAAACAAAATCAGTTGTTGACAGAAAAATTGAAAGAGATTGCCGACTATCCCTTGTTAAAGGAAGAGAAACTGGAGCTTCAGGTGCAAAATAAACTACTTAGACAACAAGTGGATGAGACTCGCAATGAAAACCTGCATTTCCGAGACAGTTAGTGTTAACTTATTTTATAACTTTTCTTTCCTCATTTTACAGAAGGTTTACATTTTATTTCATGACTGTTAAAAGGCTATTTAATTTAAGGATATATGTAAAATGAATTGAACAGTCTGCTTTAAACTTGCTTTAAATGAACAGTCTGCTTAGTTTTGCAGTCCTTACTCTTTTTTTTGTCTTCCATTTATCTTTGTTTTTTCCAAAGTTCCTAGCATCACAAGTATTGTATGATGGTTTAGTATTAGTGTCTCAGGATACTTCATGGAACAGTGATTAAAAGCAGTCCAGTTCTACTTTCTTCATCTGTTTCCTCTCAGAGAACCAGAAGTTCTTAACTGTAGTGGATTTTTATACGTTCCACTTTTACAAAAGCTAGTCTTGTGGTTACTTCATTGGGCTAGCAATCAGTAAACCTGGGTTTTAATTCCAGCTTTGCCACTGACTTCCCACATGATCTCAGTCAAATTATGTAATCTCTCTTTCTTTATCTTCTTTCCCCATCTGTAAAATCAGGACAGTGCCTTGTGCCTTGCCTGTCTTGTCTAATTTACATTGTAAGCACTTTATGGAAATCTCTCACTTTGCACAGTGGAGCTCTGTGTATAGGTGTACTAAAATACAAAAATATTAACTGCTGATAATACCATCTCTTTCCTTTCATTCTTCTATCTCCTGTTTATCACCCATTTTTTTTCAACCACAGCATTCTGTATTGTGCTTAGTAGAGGACAAAGGCTTCGGGAAATGACTGTTTTTACAGACTTAACTTCTGTAGAATAATAAACCATTATCTTGTAAACGCACATCTACAATTGTGATACATTTTGTGTTTGAAGAGCAGAGATGGGCAACACATTCAGGTTTAGATAAAACAGGAACAAGTTGATTTACTTGTTGATTTACTTGCAGAGTAGAAAAGTTGATTTATTTGCAGAGTAGAAAACTTACTGCCTAGATCACTGTTTCTTAAACTTTTTTAAGACCGAGGAACACCAAACAACAAATTTTTTTTCATGCGGAACACCAAGGATTTTTTGTTTGGGGGGTGAGGGGGAGGCACAGGTTGAAGGGGAAAGTTATTGAGGGGAAAAGATTACCTGCCCCTTTAAGTGTGGCCATTTTGAATTCTGTTGTTCTCTGTGGCACACCTCCGACTGCCTCATGGTACACTGGTGCACCGCAGCTCAAATGTTCAGAGGAAGGCACACAACGTTCTGTTTCTAGAAGAAACAGACCCCCTCCTCCCAAAATGCGTATAAACAAAGTTTTACTATTTAAAACCTATTATAGTTAGGGAAATATTTCAAATTTAAATTTCTAGGGTATGGTTATAAATAGTGAATGTTCATATTTAAGTATTTTTTTTATAAAAATATCTCCTGGTATTGTTCTTTTATGTGAAAGAGTTAACTCAGCCATCAGCTGAACATGTAGCCTGCCAGGCAGAGTTGAGGAGAGTTGAACATGCTAAAAAAATGGAACAGGATGAGTTTGAAACCCATAAACAACTTCTGGAAAAGCAACTACAGAGTGAGGTAAATTCTTCTCTAATACTATATAGAAAATATATTTTTTCTGTCATTTTGTAAACACTTATTTTTATCAGTAATCTGTGTTGCTTGATTTTAGGAGGTAAATATTATTAATTTGGATAGATGGGTTATAGGCTTGCCAGTTAGTCTGATCAGAAGATAATAAGGCGCTTGTCTCAGAATCAAGCTACACAGAGTTTACAAAGGACTCTTGGGATTATGACAGGACGTTCACATTGAGGAAAAATATTGCCTTAAAGCCTTTTGAGATGAATGAAATTGTAATTAACTAGTAATCAAACAAATGATAAATGCAGTACTAATTTAAAGAGATATAAGGTATTATATATACTATAAAGCTTTTGATTAACGTATTCACACCCTTCCTTGATAACATGGCAGTAAGAGACAAAAGGACAGGCATCATCTCTGGCATGCCAAGAGAGTTCAGGTCCAGGTTCTTCAATTCTTGAGTGAAAGGTGCAGCGCTTAGGAGAAGCTAGAGCTAAGGGCTGTCAAGTAAAACTCTAAGGTAGCTTTAACTGACTGACGTCAGACTTAAAATTAAGGACTCATAGATTAATAAAGCAAAGAACTAAGAACAAAGAAGGTTGAAGCTTAGAACGAACACTTAAAAAACAAGCCTTGGAACTCAGAGACTTGGAACCTTCTTTGCCTGCATTTCTCCTACAGAGCTTGAGCGCTTAGGCCCTACTTTTGTTCAAACTTGGTTTCCTCATCCACTGAAATGTTGGGGTACACTTATTCATTGATGGTTATGTTTTTACGTGTTGGTGATGTGTTTGTATCTACTATATATTTTGAGAGTTTGTTCAAGAACTAAAAGTTAAGAGCTAGAGGCACCAAATTTGGTATACAGCTTTCTCTTATCATTACTTAAAGCAATGTAGGAGTTTGGTTGTGCTAGGAAAATGGGATGTACCTTGAATGGGATTGCTTCTCATAAAACCAAATAAAAAAGACAGAATTGCCAACTCAAGTACAGACCTGAAAACTAACATAACTGAGCCAGTGTTTAAAGAGACTGAACCAGGGTGTCAGAGTTAAGCACAGTGTGCTGCTCTGGTAAGAGGAGGCGATGAACATTCCCTGTCTGGCTCCCAAGCTCTGCTATAGGCTGCCGTGGTAAGCAGCAGACTGCCAGGCAAGTGAAAAGGGTTGCTGCAGCCCCGAGCCTTCCACCACCCAGGTGATCTTTAGTTAAGGTTCACCCCAATTTGTACCACCCCCATTCCTCTGCCCGGAGCCCTGACATCTCTAAGCCCCTGGCCTAACTCCTGCCCCAGCCCTCTGCCTTGAGCTCTCTCTCTCTGTCTCTGTCTCTCTCTGTCTCTCTCTCTCTCTCTTCTCCCCTATTGTCGTTCCGATATGACAGTACCTATATGTAAGTTACTTTCACCCCTGGACTGTACCCAGGTGAGACAGAAAAATAGGATGAACCTGGAAGAGGATTGCTTCTTAATAAATATTACATAAAAGATAGAAACAGAAATTTGGAGCAGTACTGTGTTTAGGCTTAGCTAAATCAATGCTTAAGGTTTGAAAATGTGAAGAAAATGTTGTTGGAAATTAAATTGACTATAGCCCTTTTTTCTTAAAATGTAGCAAATTATAAGAGTTTATAGGGATGAAGAAAAAATGCACTTGGTGGAATTCCCGTTTAAAAAATTTTGGAAAAAAAAAGCGGAAAATTTTTAACAGTCCTTTTTTAAGACATCTGAAATAAAAATTATTTTCATAAAAATAACACTATATTTTTGAAAAATACAATAATTTAAATAAAGCATGTACATTTTTCTTTTTTTATACCCCCCCCCCCCAAACCTTAATTGAGTTAAGGACTTGAACAAGGCTGGGTACATCTGCTAGTATACACACATTAATGACATTAGATCATTCTCACATTTATTTTTCTTGTCCTCCCGTTTATTTCTCTTCTTTCCATGTGGTGTATGAGTTAAGTTTTTAGAAAGGTATGACTTTGGAAAGACTCCTGTGCCAACCTTCTTTCACACATCCTTTATCTATCTAGGTTGCAGTTATATATGGTCGGTATGCTTTAACTCCTTCGTCTAGGTGAAAGGTCTGAAAAATATGTATGGTAACTTAGCCTTAGCTCAGCTTACAGGATGTGGCATGTAGGTTCCTTACATTAGAGCCAAGCTACATGTAATATAAACCTGTAAATCTATTACAGTTTATACCTCCCTAAACTGGGACTCTCTGGTCCGGCAACATCTTATCGTTGCTGTGGTAATACTGTTCAGACTGTTGAGCTATTGCAGCTGGATCAAAGGTGTTCCTGGGCCAGAGAGAGCCTGGTGGCCAGGAGTCAGGCAGCAGGAGGGCTGGCTGCTGGGAGCCCAGTGGGGCTACCAGTAGCCCGGTGGGGGAGCTGGCACTGGGGTTGAGTGGCAGGGGAGCTGGGGTCCTGTGGTAGCTTGGCAGGGTGGGCCGCATGAACTGGGAAGCCAGGGGCTGGACTGGGGATGCACAGCGCAGAGCTGGAACCATTGGTAGGCAGCCTGGCTGGGGCCATTAGCAGGGTGACTAGCTAGAGCCAAAAGAAGAGCCAGTGGCAGACTAGAAAGCTGGCATCAGGAGACCTCCCCATGTCTGACAAATTCCCTCATTCAGGACTGGTCAGGTCCTGAGGGTTCCCGACCAGGGAGGTCCAACATGTATAATAAAACATCAACACCATAAGAAATCTGTAAGAGAAGATATATAGTTAGCAGACTAGCCCCACTGACCACACCTAGAAGAAAACAAAATCACTGGCAAAGTTTGCAGTGTTGTTAAGTATTGAAGGCTGGACTATCGTTGCTGTGGTAATTCTGTTCAGACTATTAAGCTATTGCAGCTGCCCAGTTCTTGGGAGTTCTAGTGTTATCAGAACTAGCAGATAGTGCAGCCTTCTGTTTCAGCAGACCTCGATGTTACAGAAAGAAAGACCACAGGCGTGATTTGGTGGCAGAGGCACTTGGCCAGGGTTATTGCCTTCCAGGCACAGTACTAGTGCCCTAGCTCTGTGATTATAGGCACACTAACATTAGTGCCAAGTTGCAAGGAGTAGCTCAGTAGCAGTAAGTTTTGCTATCCTCTCAGCCACACAAGGGGTTACGGTGACATTTATAGACTGAGACAAACAACTTATGTACCACCTTATGTTGTTCATGACATCTGCTGGTTATTTCTCCTTGTACCTCGTTCCAGAGATCTTAAGCAAAATATCCCAATTCATCACTTCAGTTAATCTTCTTACCTTGTACCAGATCAGGACATACCTTTGCTAATTTTTTGGAATGTATTCATATACCTACATAGTGCTTGATAGTTCTTTGCAAGTGCCTGTGTCTGAGCAATGCTAAACTGTAGGCCATACAGAATGGGAGCCTTTATCCTGGGAAATTCTGAAAAAGATATAGACATGTATGCATCTGATTAAGTGGGTCTTTGCCCATGAAAGCTTATGCTCCAATACATCTGTTAGTCTATAAGGTGCTACAGGACTACTTGTTGCTTTTGCAGATCCAGACTAACATGGCTACCCCTCTGATACTTGAAAAAGATATGTTGGTAATGCAGGATAATCAGCAGAACTTGAGCTCCCATGTAATGGTGTGACCAAAAAACAAAGTGTGATCCTGGGATGCATAAACAGAGGAATCAAGTAGGAGTAGAGAGAGTATTTGGTGCAGGCACGAACACTCCCAAAATACTGTGTCCAGTTCTAGTGCCAATACTTCAGTAAGGGTATTTATAAATTGGAGAGGGTTCAGAGAAGAGCCTTGAGGATGATTAAATGATTAGAAAACCTGCCTTATAGTAATAAACACAAAGGGCACAATCTATTTAATTTAACAAATAGTGGTTGAGAGATGACTTGATCATAGTCTTATAAATATCTACCTAGGGAACAAATATTTTTAAATCAAGAGTGGATATTTTTCTAAAAGATGCTCTAACAATTTTTTTGAAGCAGTTCTATGGTCTGTGTTATACAGGAGGTCAGACTTGATAATTACAGTGGTCCCTTCTGGCATTGGCATCTATGGAAAGCATATTGAGAGAGATGCCTTCATGGGCTGAAATACCTTTTCTCTTCTTTGGTATTTGTTCAAATTTATATGACAATTTTTTTTTCAAAATCTGTTTCAGGTTGAACGTTGTGCACAATTAAAGACCCAGATGTTAGACTATGAAACTACTATCAAAAAGCTAAATGTAGAGGTTGAAGATTTGAAATTGCAGCTGAAGCAAACGCAGACAGGTTTGTAGTATTTATTAGATGTTTTTAAACTGAGTTTCTAAAGGATTTTTCATTTATAGAAACATTTCCAGTGTCTTGCAAAGTAGTTCAGATTTTGAGGGCTAAAGTTATAACTGATAATTGCATTCCAAAACTAAAAAAAACCAAAACCAGCTAAATTTGTGACACTGCAACTTTACCTAAGACGCTACAAAACACAAGCTTTTAAAAGGAAGGTCTAAGACGCTGTCTACAAAACACAAGCTTTTAAAAGGAAGGAAATGAATATATATGGAAATAATAAATCTTGCACTGTCCAGATAATAAACATTCCTAATAAATATTAGGAAATTCATATTTCATATCTAGGGATGTGAACAGGTAACTGGTTAACCAGTGATGCTTACCAGAAACTGGTTAATTGGTGCCTGGGAGCAGTCCTCTGCCCATGGCCTGCCCCAGCGTGGGCTAGAAGCTGGCATGAACCCCAGCACTGGGGCCACTGCTGGTGGTCACTGCTGGTGGTGACCCTAGGGCCTGGAGTCCACTTAACCTAACATTTAACCAGTTAACTAACTCAATGTTTAACTGGTTAACTGATTAATTAGTATTTTGCATTCCCATTCATAACAGAACCATCTAATTTCTAACTCCTGAATTGTATTCTAATGTATTATTTTTCATATCTTGTCTGTAGAATGATTTTTTAAATACTGTAATGTTTATACTGCATATGGACTGGTATTTGAAGCTAATGAGTCAGTCCGTCACAGTGTTCATTTTGTACTTTTTTTTTGACTGGTATTTGAAGCTAATGAGTTAGTCAGTCCATCACAGTGTTCATTTTGTACTTTTTTTTTTACAAGTATTTTTTATTATCTTTTTATTTTGCTAGTGGAAGGCACAATTTTGACTCATTTTGGGTCAGAGTTAAGGTTGCTGTGACAAAACAGGCATTTCTTTGTATTCAGTAAGAACTTTTATTATGTTATATGTGTTGACCTCTGTGACAAAATTACTTCCCTGCAAATACTTGTAGATAATAGTGGTGTATTTCAGTAAACCTAAAAATACAAACAGTGACTATTAACACAGACAATATAACTGCTTTTGGGGAAGAGTTTTCTTTTGTGGAAAGGAGTCACCTTAAAATTTAGAGTGAATGCAATAGCTCAGTGTTCTGTAGTTTTTGATTTTGTTGTTTTAATACCCAATAGTCCATTTAAGAATTATATGGGCCTGCCCCTGTACTTAGAGGAATCAGTGGGCACATGAGTGGGCTCTAACAGTTTGCAAGTCGAATTAAATTAAAAACATTGAAAAATGAGATTGAGTGGCTTTTTGGAGCTGCTGTCATCAACTGTCTTTGTATTCTATGGGGTTGTCTTATAAATATGTATTATTTGGATGCAGTGATAACAAAAGTAACAGAAATTATTAAACTTTTTGCTGATTTTATTTTTTGTCTCCATTGGTTCTAAATATTTTTTGTAAATAAACTATTTATAACTTGCAGCAGTTGCCGTGTAACATCAAATGCAGCTGAATATATATTTTAATTTTTTTATATCTATGCTTTAAATTTCAAATGAAAAATCTCTATATTTAAACTGTCATAAACTTCTTATCTGAATGATGTGACCAAATCAGAATTCAAATAATTTCTTCTGATTTTTCCTGAAATTCATGGGTGCTTTTTCTTTTCTGTCTCTGTGTCTGAAATTTTTCTCACTTAGTTCTAGAGAATGAAGTGTATCGGAATCCCAAGCCTTCTCTCGTTGATCGTTCTGTCATTGACTTCGATAGAATTATACCTCATGACATTTATGTAGATGGTGCTTTCTTGAAGAACCGGGCTGTTGATATCGAGGCAGTTGATGTTCCAAACATTGGTTATCGCCAGCATTCACAGACCTGCAACTCTTCTCCAGATTCTGACCTTGAATTTGTTGCCAAAACCAAAACTAGGATAAAAGAACTAGAGAAAGAAGCAGAGTATTTGGAAGAAGCCTATAGAAATTACCAACATAGAGTCATTCAGGGTGTAGTTGCAAGCAGGACACCAACAAAGACTAAGACCTCTCTACCTATACGAAATGCTGCTAGATTCCCCTTGGCTTCTGAACACAGAGTTATGTTTGTAGAAGACAATCTTGGTGCTCAGCATTTCTCTCTTAACAGTCCAAGAGGCCAAAGATACGTGACAACTGAGCATGATCATAGCTTGAAAAATCAACTAACTCCTCCCCGAAGAAGGTCTTCCTCCAGACGTCTTTCTTCTACTCCTCTTTCCAAAGTGGAGAGAAACATCAATAACCATATACTTGCAGAAGGTAAATCATTATTGCTCATTTGTGTTGATATTTTTTCTTGCAGGAGTCCAGTTAGGAAACTTAAAATTGAGAATCTTTTATATGTTTTATCATCTGTTTAAGGGGAAGAGAAAGGCATGGTAAATATATATAAGAAACTAACCATTTGAAAACAAGCATTTTAGAAGTGAGTGTTAAGCCTACTGCCCTTCATGTAAACCTCAGAGGGTAGCCATGTTAGTCTGTAACTTAAAAAGAGTTAAAAAGGGAGTGCTCTGTTAGTCTCTAAGGTGCTTACTAAAGGACCACTCGTTTTTTTTAAGTTCATTTAAGCAGTTTTAAATGGTTAATTAAGGTATATCCACATGATCTACTATATATGTAGTCCTGTGGTAATCCAAAAGCACGGCCACATTTTGACTCATTCAGTCGTCGCTCCTTTCTTTTCATCCTGTCTATTTGGGGACAGGCAAACTTGCTTTCACAATCTTTGGGGCTTGATCACCAGTGACAGGTGGGTTCTAGGCACTGGCAGAATGGGCTATGTTGTCCAGTTCTTTTCCATCCCTTCCCCTTGTCCTTCTTGAAGGACCTGCTCGTGAGTTACTGCTTTCTTGAGCAGGTTCACTTTCTACTGGCTTTGGAAACAATTGTGGGGGTTCTACTAGAAAACTGCACTAAAGGCTTCTATTCCCGGAATATGCTGTTGCACAAGTCCAAGGAAGGATAAGACCCATTCTCAATTTTTGTGGCCTCAATAAATATGAGATGTGAGATTCTGAAGGGTCACATTATTGACTGTCCTCCCCGCATTATCTCAGAACAACTGGTTCATTGCTCTCGACTTTCAGCTCGCCTATTTTCAAGTGGCAATTTTGCCAAACCATAGAAAATGCCTTCAATTTGTCATAGTGGAGCACCATTTTCACTACGCAGTGCTTCTGTTTGTCCTCTCATCTGCTCTTTTGTTTTTACCAAGTGTATGCTGTCATCCATGCTCAGCCCTCAGGAATAAATGAATCCACATCTTGTGCACTGGAAGTCTGGCTATTGAGGGAAAGGCCCAGCAGAGAATAAATCCTTTCTCATGTCTTTTTTCATTACACTTACTCAACTGTCTGGGTCTCATCTGAAACACCAGAAAGTCAACTTTGGTTCCTGCTTAGAAAATCAAATTCATAAATCCTTTCTCGTGTCTTTTTTCATTACACTTACTCAACTGTCTGGGTCTCATCTGAAACACCAGAAAGTCAACTTTGGTTCCTGCTTAGAAAATCAAATTCATTATGACCTTAATAGACTAAAAGTTTAAGAGCATTTGACCCACTGTTTTTCGTCAATTCATCACTTTTGCCTCAGTCTTCAGACTCAGTCTTCCTCAACAGTTTGGGTGTGCCTGTAGGGTTGCCAGGTGTCAAGTATTGACCTGCACAGTCCGGTATTTTTCCCTCCTGTCTGGTAAAAAAATTCTGAAAATACTGGACACCTAAAATGTCCGGTATTTTCTGATTTTTTTTTAATGTCCGGTATTTTCAGATTTTTTTTCCTCTGCCAGGAGGCGAAAATACCAGACACCTGGCAATCCTACACACACTCTGCAACTGGGCCCAGCCCCTGCTACCGCTGAACCCCCTCTTGCTTACCTGGTTCCGCAGGGAAGCTGCCTTCTGGCTCCGATCAAGAAAACAAGATGGGTTGGCAAAAAAAGCTTCAAAGGCTTTTCTTAAAGGGGCCCTGCTGTTTAATTTTTAATTTTTTAATTTTTTTGCTTAATAACTCTTGGTCCTTTTTCTTTTCTCAACAACTTTGGTTCTCCCCTCCCCCCCCCTTTTTTTTATTTCTCAACAGAATTTTTTCCCCAGTGTTTTTTTTTGGGGGGGGGGGGGGCAGGGTGGGTGTTCAGTATTTTTAGTTAAACTATGTGCCTGAGATTTTTGGGTCACACGTCTATATGTGCACATAGGTGATCTAGGTTGCAAGGTTGTGTTTTAGTCCCCTTCAGATATGGCTCAGGGCAGTTAATCATCTGACTCTTCACTTTTGGGTCTGTCTTTCTCCATGGGTCCTGAACTTGCAGTGGTGGCACTTCCAGAGAATGTTTGTAAGGGTATTCCCATTGTCCAGCCCTTACAAACTAGCTCTGTTGTCACTGATTCCTCCCTGATAGATAGGGAACATATTTGGGGCTGCTGAAAGTTTGAGATTTGTGGTCAGTCCAGGAGTCCTCACTGCATGTTGATGTGTTGGAGCTTTGTGCTACAATGCATGTCATGCTTTTCTGGACTGTATCAGGTACTCAGGTGTTTGTATGCTTATCGACAATACCATACTGTGATGTATTGTGAACACTCCAGGATGCTCTGCAAAGAGGCAATCCACTGGTAGCAGTTCTTCATCAAGGAGAATATCGCTCCGATAGCCAGTTATTTGTATGG